GCTCCCGGGTGAAGAGGGAGGGGCTCAGGGAAGCTGATGTCCTGGGCAAGGTCCCCTGCAAGTCAGTGGTGGGTGTCCAGCCTGCTCAGGCCAGATCGTAACCTCCCTGGGATGAGGGTCTCTGTGAGGGTTTAGGCTTGTCAGTGAAATCCTATCTGAGCCAGGCAATGCTGCAGGGAGTGCTGGGGTCTGGGGCGGCTCAGGGGGCTCCCCTTTTCTAAATGGGTCACTCTTGCCTGGTGGTATCTGTGGTCTGTAATGATTGACTCTGAGCTTCTATGCCTGCAGAGCCCTGGTGGCATGGTGGGTAAATGTTTGCCTGTTAACTGGAGGCTGATGGTTCAAATCCCACAGTCGGCTTCTGTAAAGCGTTCCAGCCACAGACACCCTTGTGGTGAGGTACTTCTACCCCGGCTTGGGGGGTTGTGGGGAGGCGGAGAGGATGAGGGGACAATGGTGTGGTCTTTTTTTGGCTTTGGCCTCAGTTCTGGGTGACAAAGGCAAGCTGGTGGCACAGTGGTTAAAGTGCTCAGGGCCAGCCCAGAAATAGGCGTTCTGTACCTGCCTCCTTCTCTGCCAGAGGAAAACATGGAGGCCTGGCCCCAGAAAGATCCCAAGCCTGGAGACGCTTCGAGGCCAGCCTGCTCTGTCTCACAGGGTCTCTGTGAGGGGAGTCCCCTGGAGGGCGGGGAGCTCGTCCTGTGGGTGTGATGCAGTGTGGAAGTGGGTCAGTGCTGGAGGCGGGCAGGGTCTCCGGCTAATTACTTCTGAATCACAAGGCGCAGTAACTCCCTCAGGGGTTCCCAACAATCTAGGGGAACGGACTTGGAGCCTGCAGAGCTGGGAGACGAGATCATAAATCCCTGCTCTTCAGAGCACCTCCCTGTGGTGGCCCTGTCACAGCAGTGCTGGGAGGCTGAGCGCCCATGTCAGGCCCCCAGTCCTGGCTCCCAGTGGGGGCCATTGCGAAGCTGGGGAATGGTCATGAGAGGGCCTGACTGCTCCCACACCCCAGAGAGGGCACCCACCCCATGACACCCCTTTGTCCCTCTAGTGGGTAGAGGTTACCAGCTCCAGGGCAGTCACCAGGCTGGGGGCCAGAAGCCTGGGGTACCACCTGGGGGCGCAGCCCCAGTCTCTGTGACAGCATCTTATCTCGCGGCTGGGGAAGCTTCCAGGGTGGGGCTGGGGGCCTGGGCGCCACGTCTGCAGGAGCCGCAGAGACGGGCTCCCAGCTCAAGCATCTGGAGACGCTTTCCAGCTGTGCTGTGCTGGCCGCTCGCTCGGACATTCTTTGCACATGAGGAATGGGGCTGTGCGTGGTGGCGGGGGCAGGCACTGCCTGGGACGAGAATGCTGGCCATCGCTCTCAGCTCCCGGAGGGGGTCCAAAGCCTGCTGCCCACCCTGCTGTCAGAAAGCCATAGCCCAAGCTGAGCAGCCCAGCCGGGAACTTGCCCTCAGCACCGCTGACAGACCTTGAACTGTGCCCACCTCTGGGGTCCTGCCCAAGGGGAGACAAGCCTCCAAGGGGCTGCAGGTCCTGAAAACAGGAAGAGAGCTGAGTGGCCTTCAGCAGGAGGAGGAACAATGCATTGCTGCCCAAGCCTCAATTGTCTCATCTATGAAATGGGCATTAGAATCACCTGACTCCCCAGTTGACTGTGGGCTTCAGGAGCCGAGCAGGCACAAGGCAGACATAACAGTGCCCATGGCAGCCATGGGGGTGACCTGGAAGAATAAGACATCCTGTCCAGTCCCACGCCATGCCCCCTAGGCATCGACTCTCCCCCTCTCTGCACTCCTAGCTCTCCTAACCGGCAGGTGGCACTGAGGGCCAGCGTGGGTCCAGAGGCCTGGAAGCTATTGAGGCTGAAGGCCACACAGGAGAAGTGTCTTCTAGGAGCCTTCGTGGGCCCCGGGGTCCCCTCCAGGCCAAGCGCACATGGCTCCCCTGGGTGCCCCTCCCCCACATCTTACTCACCAGGCATCTTTGAGGTCCTGGCACCCTGTTCCAGGCACTGGACCTTGTGCCCAGGGCAGGAAAGGTCTGGGGACAGAGGCCGCAGTCCTTGCCTGAAATAACCGACAAGGTCAAGGTGTCCACAGTAAGTTTATGACCTGTCCTGCCTCAGAGCAGCAGTTCCTCCCTGCAGCCTCCCAGCCCCTCCCTTCAGTAGAACAGGCTCCCCAGGCCCTATAGGCACCCCAGACCCTATAGCTGCCCTAGGCCCTGTATCCGCCCCAGGCCTCACTGCCCACCCGAGGCCTCCTAAGGTGGGAGTGTCAGTCCTCTGGTCCATTTCTGCTATAACCCTGACACACACTGGTCCCCAGGCTGTGCCTCTGACAGCCCTCATCCCACAGCTCAAAGTCAATGTCACCAGCATTCATCAGCATCTACTGTGGGATTTGTGGACACAGGAGCTGACACAAGGGCTGGTGGGCACACAGAAGATGTTCTCCTGGAGGCACTTTCCTGGGCGGGAGGTTCCCAGGGGTGGCACGCAGTGGAAGCTGAGCACCTAAAAAAGTGACCCAGCTGAGGTGCAGCGGAGGGGCCACCCCCCTGGGAGCTTGTCAGATGCTGCAGCCCTTCGCCCTCACACAGTCAGGCTGCTTTCCTCTTGCTCGATAAATGTGTCCGAGGAAACGTTCCCGAGCTCAGGCGGGAAAGGAGGCTGTCCACTGGTGATAGCTGGAAATGGAACAGAGAACAGAGAACAGAGGAAGGAACAGGCAAACAGAGGTGGCCCTGCCGGCCACAGCCCTGGACATCACCATCCTAAGTTGCTCCTGCACCTCCTTCCCCCAGGAACATCAGGGTTCTTCTCCACAAATTCTCCCCCTTGTCAACCCACAGCAGCCCCGCGGGAGCACAGAGCTCAGCTGACCCAGGGCTTCTGTGCACCCCCACCCTGGGTGCTGTCCTGGGAGGACACTGTTGCCACCTCATCTTGGCCATCGCCTGCCAAGCCACTAGGTTTACTCCTTCACAGACAGCACAGTAAAGGGGAAGGGGGTGACCTTGGCTTTGCAGCTTGGATCCAATCGAAGCAACACCTGAGGGAGTCCCAGTCACCACACAGGATCAGCCTGTGTGAGGGCCAGTGAGGCTGTGGGCACCCAACAGACACATGCTGGGGCCAGGGTCTGAGGAGTCCTCTCTGAAAGGTGGCTCCTTCACCTCACCCCCACCCAAGGCCTCAAGACATCCCAACACCAGCCTTTGGAAGCAACCTGATCCCACTTACACAGTAAGGCCCTCCCACCTTGGAGTGACTGGGGTCCAAACACCAGCCTCTCAGCGTCCAAGCACTCAAACGTTGAGCCCCAGTCCTCACTGGGACCGGATCACTTGTGGTCTGGCCCGGCCTCACTTTCAGGGTGCAGCAAGTCTCCAGGTCCTCAGGGACGCAGTCACTGCCAAGAGGAAAAAGGGGAGATCCTCCATGTGGATATGGAGGATGGGATGCAAGGAGGGGTGCTGGTGAGGCCCTAGGAGGTGAGTACTGGGAGGGGCTGGGAGCAGCCTCCCCCAAAGGCACACACTTCAATCCACAAGCTCCCACTTTGCTGGGCCACACCCTGGTCAACCTGTGCTGTCTCCAGGCCTGGGAAGAGAGGGGGCCACGTCTGCTGCCCTCTAAGGCATTCCACAGGCGGCAGCCTGGACACAGACACAGCACCCGCCCCCGCCTCCCCGCTTGGCTACTCGCAGGGAGAGGAGCAGGGAGGAGAGAGGGCAGGACGCACCGTCAGCCACGGAGACCTCAGTCCCCAGAGTCTGGGACGGAGCTCCTCACTCCAGTTTCCGCATGGACTCTATCCACGCACATCCCTCCCAGTCGTCCACTGCGCCCTTGCCTCTTCCGGTCATACCCTAACAAACCCCATTTCTAGGAACCCAGAATATTCGCGGCCTCAAGAGCCGCGCCCAGGGCCTCCAGGCGAGCCTGCTTCGGGTCCAGCCAGAGCAGATCGGGCCCTTGTTCTGCGCTGAGTCTGCGCCGTCGCACCGCCCACTCCCAGCACTTGGGCACAGGGACCGGGTGAGCAGGGAGCTCTGCCACAGGAGCCATGCGTGGCGGGCGACTCCCACCGTCCCTCGCTCCTTGCGTCCCAGGAGACCTCTGGAGTCCCCAGCTCCGTGCCCAGCAAGTCCCACCAAGAGCGGTGGCCGCGGGGCTCACAACCCCTGCCCGACCCTGCAGCGGGGAGCGCCGCGCCAGGTCACCGTGTGTTGGAAACTCGAGGCCAAGCGCCGGCCTCTCGTACCCAGGTCCAAGGACTCAAGCCCACGCAAACCGAACATCCTTAGGTTCTGCCACTGTCTTGTCCCTGAGCGCGGCATCAGCGCGGAACCAGCGGCCAACGAGCAACAGTAACAGAGGTCTCAGGGCCGATGCCTTCAGTCTCTTGAGCCCACTCACTCGATCGCCTCAGCGGCGGGCTGAGCGCGTGGATCCCCGTGCCGTGCGCTCCGGTGGCCTTTTCCGCCGAGCCCCGCGGGCCAGGCCTGTGGGCATCACGTGGCGCAAGGCCCCAAGTCCCGGGCAGGAGGGCTAGGGGCGGGGCGCACGGCGGGGAGGGGACGGGGCGGAGCGCAGGCCGGTCCTAGCGTCGGGTTCCCCGCGCACAGCGAGGCCCAGTCGGCCAGTCTCCCACCCGCTGGTCATTGCCCTGCCACGCCCGTCGAGCCCTCGGACCTTGGGTCCCGCCACTGCCGGTGAGTGCCCGGACCTAGCGAGCGGGGCCCCACAGCTCCAAGCCTTCCTCGCTCCTAGGACCCCCGAGGGAAAGAGTGGGCTTGGCCCCAAGCCACCCAGGGGACCCTCTCCAGAGCAGCACGAGGAGCTGCCAGACAGTGGAGCGGGGAGCGGACCGCGCGTCACCCCCCCAGGCACCTGTTGAGTCTGAGTACCGCGCCAAGTTGGGGAGCACGCGGCCAAGACCCTAACGTCTTCCCCCATACCTGCAGGTCCAGGGCGCGCCCGGAAGATGTACCAGAGCCTGGCGCTGGCTCCGAGCACCGGCCAGGCCGCCTACGCCGAGTCGGGCGCCTTCTTGCACGCTCCGGGTGCAGGGTCCCCGGTGTTCGTGCCTCCGGCTCGCGCGCTCCCCATGCTGCCCTACTTGCCCGCGTGTGAGCAAGGACCGCAGGCCCCCCAGCTCGCCGCGCACCCCGGCTGGGCACAGGCAGCCGCCGACGCGTCCGCCTTTGGCGCGGGCAGCCCGCACCCTGCAGCCACGCAGCCACCTGGGACCTCCAGCTTCCCCTTCGTGCGCAGTCCCGCGGTGCCCGGCGGGGGCGCGGGCGGCCGGGACGGCGGCACCTACCAGAGCGCGCTGCTGGCTCGCGACCACTACCCGGCCCCACTCGGGCGGCCCGTGGGCGCTCCGTACCCTAGCACCTACCCAGCCTACGTGAGCCCCGATGTGGCCCCGGCCTGGGCCGCCGGACCCTTCGACAGCAGCGTCCTGCCAGGCCTCCCTGGTCGCAGGGCCGCCTTAGGTGAGTGCAGGCCTTTGGGTGTCTCCGCTGTCTGGGGCGCTGGCGGTGCGGAGCGCAGACCCGCACCCAGTGAAACGCTGGCCCTGCGCTTCTGAACTCGGCTTCTGCGGTAGAACCGGGCTCTCAGCCGCTCCCGCCGCTGTCACGGTTAGTGAGAAGGTCCCCACTGCCAGCCTTCGTCCGTCCAGCCCGGCGGCGGCCTGGACCTTGGCAGTCTGCAGACGAAATTTTGGGCAGTTTTATAAAATCCGTTTTGGAAATTAGTTTTTTAAAGCCCACACTTCCGGCTTCTTTTAGTAATTGACTCTCATATCCCCTGATTTAGAATGTTAGTCTCTAACTGGAGAGCTGATTTCGATGGCTCCAGGTACATAAATTCGGATAATCGATAATCGGGATTCAGGGCTCAGAAGGCTCCACCCTGGTCCCCACGGAGCACTTTGCTCAACCAGTTTTTCTGCTGGGCGAGCCAAATGGCCCTGCGCATTCGCTGCTTGCAGGGACCCCGGGACACCCCATCGACCGCCTGGTCAGTCCTTGCCACTCCAAGGTGGCCAGTGCAGAAGCCTCAGGACCTCCTGACCCCACTGCGGGCAGCCCTGCCCCTGGCGCAGCCCCATTCGGGAGTTTTGGGGGGAGTATTTGGGCGAGAAGAGCTCAGAGGAGAGAGAGCCGGCCTCCAGGTGGAATTTTTCAACCCCCTTTGTAAATGCATCTCACATAGAATGCGGAGCTCCTAACCTAAAGGCTAGCCGTTTCTACATGGACAGTCGGTGAAGATTTCCTGTCCACAAACCAATGGAGAGTTTAGTGGAATCAACTGTGAGGCGGTGTATGTGTTTTTTGTTAAAAATGCAACCCCAGCGATTTTGTCAAGATCAGCACAACTTTTCCGGTTCATCAATTTAAAGCCAAGGATCCCTGGTGGTGCAGTGGTCACACACCCAGCTGCTGACCAGTTTGTGGTTGGAACTGGCCAGCCCCTCAGGAGGGAGGCCAAGCATGGACTCCAGGGCCTCGTGCCTGGGGGCAGCTCCATAGGACCCTCTAGCTGGAATCAAACCCCACAAATTTATGAAATTAAAAACTAAAATTTAATCAGTCAATTCCTTTTTAAATAAATTTAAAGGCAGAAGAAGGGGAAAATAAAAATGTGAGTCCGGGGAGGCAGCCATCTGGGTGTGATGGAGGGCTGGGGAGAGTGGAGGGCGGCCCCCACTAGCTGCCTGTCCTGCAGCTTCCGACTTCCTGGAGGAGTTTTCGGGCGAAGGTCGCGAGTGTGTCAACTGTGGGGCCCTGTCCACGCCACTGTGGCGCCGGGATGGCACCGGTCACTACCTGTGCAATGCGTGCGGCCTCTACCACAAGATGAATGGTGTCAACCGGCCACTGGTGCAGCCACAGAAACGGCTGGTGAGTGCAGGGGAGAGTGGGGGCTGGGCGTGAACCTTGCTGGAGGTGGGGTCTGGGGACCCCAGGGCACAGGAGCACTTTGAGCTGAGACTGGAGTCCCACGGATGGGGGGGTGCACCCTAGGCCTTGTGCAACTCCACTCAGGCCACGCTGGGGACACTGAGGGCCTAGTGCAGGGAGGCAGGAGCGAACACACCGCCCGCCCAGCCAGAGAGGAGAGAGGAGACGCCAGAGAGGAGGCACATTGGGCTTTTCAACAGAGCAACTTGAGAAAGGTGGGAGTGAGCAGGCTTGAGAGGTCAGCCCAAAGACCTAGAGTGTTAACACCAAGGTCATCAAACCTGGCGGACGTGGGTTGGATTGGTGGGGACAGCTCTTGTCATCTCTGTCCAGACGGCGGCCTGGAAGGTCCAGCGGGTCAAAAGCAGGCTAGGCCCCCAAGGCTCCTACTCTTACTGGGACTGCAGCTCCATGGTTGGAGACCGTAGGGAGAAGCTGGGTCTCCTTGTGCTTGGCTCCTTGGGCAAAAGTTGTTTTCACTTTTGGTTCCTCCTCCCATGTGGGGGTTGGGGAGCGGGAGTAGAGACTGGAACCCCGACTTTTGCCCGAGCTGGGCAAAGAGCCCCAGAAGCTGATGTTAAGGTTTAAAGTTAACTTTGTTGTTTCACATGCAAAGGGGGGGAAATGGATTGTTTTGTGAGTCAAAGTGTACAGAGCGTGTGTGTGTGTGTGTGTGTGTGTGTGTGTGTGTGAGATATCTACACAGGCCCCCATGCCCCTCACTCTTCCCACTTCCTCCGAACTCCCTGGCCTCCCTTTGTCCTTCGTGCTAATGGGGTCACAGGCAAATTTTATCTTTCACTAGTTTTACAAATAAGGTGGTGGGGCAGAGACTTGTTTGAAAGTTGGTTCCACTCCCAGAGGTCCTAATGGTGGGATGGGGGGAGTTCAGGGTTCTGGACCCTCTGGGCCAGCCCTACTTTCCCCCTGACCCTCCTCAGTGTGCATGTGGGCAACACATCGGTCAGCTTTTCTTCCTTAAGCTCTGAGCCAGGTGGCAATCACAGGCCCTGTCTGTGGGCTTTCTGGAAGAGTCTGCCGGCTTCCTTGAATCCTTTTCAACAGCAGCTGCATGCCGATCCCCCCTCAAAGCTGACTAAGGGTTCATGTCTTCAATGGCCCCTCCCTCCACAGGGGTGCAGTGTGGTCTGCTGAGGGGAAGGGGCTCAAGTGCCTGGATATTCTACTGATGACACTCAAACTGCACCCAGAAAATGCCTGACTTGGGGGGAGGACAGGTCCCTGTCTGATGTCCCTTCGTGGAATTTCTGAGCACTTTCCCATTTGGGGGCACACTATCCACAGGGACAGACCTGCACCCCAGAGACACTGAGCCAGGGTGTGTGTGTGTGTGTGTGTGTGTGTGTGTGTGTGTGTGTGTCGTGGGTCTTCCCCTGGAAATACAGCATGCAGTGAAATTCCCAGCCCCTGGAACCTCAGTCTTCTCATCTAAGAAATGGGGGGAGGGGCTCAGTACCTGTCTTCCTGGCTCGCTGGAGAGATGAAGCCAGACCCCAGCACCGGGACGTGAATGCCAAGCCTGCACTCAGTGAAAGAGGTCCTGGAACTCTTGGCCTCTGGGTCCCCATGTGTCAGCGCATCTCACTGAGCACTCAGGCCCCTGGGTGGGTCTGGTTACTCACGTTCACAACTGAGAAGACCTGGGCTGTGTGGAACACACTCAGGCCGCTTTGTGCCAGGTCCCAGGGAGGACCTGGAGTCCTGGTGCCCCACTGACACTGGGAACGGGTCCACCGCCCAAGGTTGCCCTGGTGCGTGGCCTAGCATCCTTGGACATGCTCAGGCCTCTCTGTCCACCACCTCTGCTCTGTCGACACACCTGCTCAAGGACCTCTGCTGTTTGCTTGGCTGAGCACGGGGACACGGTGCTTTACCACGTCCAGTGTCTCTGCCAGAGAGGTCTCACAGAGATCACAGGTATTCTGACCACCTGCCATCCCATCCCTGAGGCCCAGACCCCTTGGTGGCCACCTGCACAGGCAGCACATCTGCCGGATGACAGGCCATGGACAAGACTGCAGACACTGGAGCACCCAGCCTGCCTGGCTGAGGGCTTGCCTTTTCCCTCCGCACCAGCTCCCATCCCCCTACCAGAGGCACCAGCCCCACCCACTTCATCTGCATTCAGACGTGGGGGGCCTGGTGCTGGGAGCCACTGATGGCTTTGATGTCTCACTCTCTTTGAAAAGAACAGGCCAGAGAGGAGGAAAGAGCCCAGCTGGGAGGGGCCTCTGAGCTGGGGCTCTAAGCACAGCCAGGCCTGGTGCCTGTCTGGACAGTGAGGGAGGACAGTTAGAGGCCCATGTGTGGGGTGTGGAGGGTTGAGGACACCAGCAAGAGCCAAGGTGCCACCAGGAACGCGTCTGGGAGCGTGCTTGCTGGCAGCTGTGGTGTCACAGCTCTCTATCCCCCGTGCTTCTCTGATGCTTAGTTCCCTGTCCGAGTGACTGTGGACGTGCAGGACAGAGGGGTAGAGGGCAGACCGTCTTGCTGCCATGTTCTTTTTTTTTAGTTTTTTATCATTTGAATGAAAGTTTGCTGAGCAGATAGGTTTTCTGTTCAACCATTCATACACATGTTGTTTTAGGACCTTGAGGACAGTTCCCTGATGTTAACAGCACTCTTCCCACTTCCTCTCTGTGACTCTTATCTCCATGCTTCCTTCTAACCTGTCCTTTCCTGCCTTCTGAGCTCTCTCCCAGGCAAACACTGTTCTTTTGATCTTGATTGATGGTACAAGGTGTGAGTTCCCCCCCAGTGTTGTGTTTCACCTTATAAGTCTGTGTGCTGTTTGGCTGGAAGTTGTCAGAGGTGAGTTTAGCTCCAGGCTCCAAGGGTGGCTGAGGAAGTTACTCTTGGCAACTCCACCAGTCCCAATTATCCCAGAAAGCCTGGCCAGTGCTAGGATTTGGGGTTGTTTCACATTCCTTTTCCACCTGGCCCAGGATTCTCTCTTGTGATATCTTCTTTGTTTTTCTCCTTATTGTGTACCCTCAAATCGAATCCAACTGGCACAGAAGGACATTGCCTCTCCTTCTCCAGCAGAGCATCTGATGGATTAGAACCGTGTGCCTTCCGGAGAGGCTTCTTTCAACTAGGCCGCCAGAGCTCCCTTTTGTGATGCCTTTTTGAGTGTGTGGCAGAGGCACTGGTCACCACCTGGTAATGCTGGTGTCAGTGCTGCAGGGAGTGAGGCACCTGCTACGTTCTGAAGTCCATAAATGCAGAAAGTGGTCATTGTCAAAAGATTCCAAGAGGCTCCTGGTGGTGCTTGAGTGCACAGTCTTTGAGCGATGGTCCTCGGGCTGCCAGGTTAGCCATCAGCCCTCAGCCCTGTTGCCTCTTTGTGGTGGTTTTGCAGGTCCATACACTACAGGATTGGGTCGGTGTGAGGAAGAATTTTGTCTCGGAAGAGTATTGTCCACAAGCCCAAGCTCCCCTAGGCCACTCACAAGAGCTGAGCCCTTCTGGCCATCATGGGAACCCCATTCATGGAGGCCCAAGCCCTTGACCAAGCTGATCAGGGCTGAGGTAGGGGTGCAGCACAGATGCTCAGTCATGGGGGCAGCAGATGCTGCTCCACCCCTGCACCTCATCCAGGGTGGACTCCTGAGGTGTCCACTCCAGCTGTCCTGGTCTTGATTTTGGGTCTGTCCTGGGGCTGGAGTCCAGACTCCCGGTGGTCAGGGGGACCCAGAAGCCAGCACCCTCCAAGGAGGGATAACCAGATCCCGAGGGTTGCAGGCCTTTGGGGTCCACGACACTCCAGGAGCTGTGATTTTATTCCAGAGTGTGGGGGCCCCCGAGCTGGGCAGACCTCTGTCAGGGACCCCCATGCAGCCAGAAGATCAGAGATCACAGGGTGCAACCCAGGTCGGTTCAGCCCAGACTCCTGTTGGGACTCCAGGATTTGGGGTCATGCTGGGGCCCCTGAAGGTTGTCAAGGGCAGGGTCAGGTCATATATGGATCAGGGGTAAACTCCAGGCCTTTAAGATCAGAGACCAGGATGGGGGGGGGCGCGATATCAGGGCACAATGGACAATGAAGGGAGACCCAGGCAGAGAAGGCGGGCACCATGAGGGGCTGGAGAACTGCGGATGCCGCTGCAGAGAGCACTCTGTGGCCTTAGGATCCCCACCTTGGGACGAGGGCAGGGGGGCTGTTAGTCCAGAGTCAGACCGTGGGCTCTGTGGCTCTGGGAGGCTGCCCCACTGTTGACATACGGTGGCACAACGGAAGACACATCCAGCTGTAGCCCTAGATCCATTTTACTGGTGGAAAAACTGAGGGCCAGACAGGAGGAGTGATCTGGCCTCCAGGGTGTCCAGGCAGACCTCAAGCCCTTCAGCTCTCCCAGTCCTGGCTGACAGGTAGTTTGGAGACTGGCTTCTGCACCCCACTTTGCACCTGTGGTCCAGTGTCCAGCGCTTTCAGTGGTCTTGCTGTCCCACAGTCCTCTTCTCGCCGGGCAGGACTCTGTTGCACCAACTGCCACACAACCAACACCACACTGTGGCGGAGGAGCGCGGAGGGCGAGCCTGTGTGCAACGCCTGTGGGCTTTACATGAAGCTGCATGGGGTGAGCGACCAGCTGGGCGGGACCTGGGATGGGGAGGGGCCTAAGTGACTGGGGGCGGGACCTGGGATGGGGAGGGGCATGTGTGATTAGAGCGGGACTTGGGATGGGGAGGGGCCTATGTGACTGGGGGCGGGATCTGGGGATAGGAGCTTGTGTGACAGGGCTGGGACCACAGGGATGCCTCCCATGGTCACGCCCACCGCACCCATCTGATCACTTAGGGGTGAATACCCAACTCCAACCTCTCAGCATCCTAGTCTCAGCTGCCTGGGCCCCTCCTGGCCCACCAGAGAGGAAGCCACCCCACTAGGGTGTGTGCTCCCCCTGGGGCTGTGAGGACTCTGCGACCACTTGCTGCCCCCCAGGTGCCCCGGCCTCTGGCCATGAAGAAAGAGAGCATCCAGACAAGAAAGAGGAAACCCAAAACCACCACCAAGGCCAAGGGCTCATCAGGTGATGGCAGAGCCATGAGCAGAAGCCATGGTCATGAGGCAGGGGTGGGGGACGCGGCTAGAGCGGGTCCTCGGGAGGCTAGTGTCTGCGGAGTCACTTTTAACATCTAAATTCCACCGTTAGAGACGTGTGTTTGGCACCCTTTATACAGACATTGCCAGTTTTTCCCTGTGTGACTGGTTGGGGAGGTTAGGGGTCGGGTGGTGTGCATTCCTCTAGGAAGGGGCAGAATTGGGGGTCCAGAAATCTGCAGCTGAGTGAACCAGACCCCCACATCTCCCTCACATCTGGTCCCATGTGGGCAGCACGGGGAAGGTCTGAAACCCTTCCTCCCCATAGGGTCTGCCTCCAGCACCTCCCTCTCCCCATCCTCAGTCCACACCTCCCAGAGCTCAGCATCCACGTTGAAGCCAGAGCCCACCTTGACATCCCCGACATGCCCAGGCCCCAGTGTGGCCTCCCAGGTGAGGGGCCAGTGGGGTAGGCACTCGGGCACCCCAGCACCCTCAGAACCCGAGCAAGACTGGCTGGTCCTGGTTCTCACACTGCTTCTGTCTACCCTGCAGGCCTCCAGCCACGTGGTTGAGCCCCTGCCTCCCAGTCACCTGGAGTTCAAGTTCGAGCCCGAGGACTTTGCCTTCCCATCTACCCTGGGCCCCCAAGTTGGCCTCGGAGGGGCCCTGCGCCAGGAGGCCTGGTGTGCACTGGCCTTGGCCTAGGTCCCAAGCATGCAACATATGGGTGTCCCAGAGAATGGAGCACCCCTATGGCCCACCTCACAAAGCAGTGGAGAGGCCGACGGGAGAAGGCTCCCAAGCCCAAAAGCAGATTTCAAATGCTGTGGAGGCTCAGGACCACACCGGTCTTGGGTGCCCACCACCCACTGAATTCCAGATGAGCACTAGCGACACATATTTACAAACTCTGCTTGCAAGCTCCTGACCTCATGAAGTAGGACCCGAGTCCACCACTCCAGCCAGGTGGATGACAGGAATGAACCGGACTCAGGCCCCGAGACCTCACCAATGTCGGTCCTGCACCCTGCATTTAATGATGGAGCTATCCCGCCTGCTGGGAGAGAGGTGTCGGCCATGCACTACACAAGGACTACCCTGCAGGGAAGCCGGTACAGCCACGTCACGTGGACGTTCGTCTGTTTATCTGCAGCCTTTTCCAGTAGGGCGGGGAAGGGCTTTGTGCCACAGACAGACTGGCTAGGCCCCCGTCTGAGGCACACACGGGACTGACGGTGTGCTCCTGAGACCCAGCCTACCCAGCCCTTCCACTCGCCCTGTTGCCCCAGCACAGTAATCTGTAGCATTGCCTCCCTCACCGCCCCCGAGTCTGAGTTTGGAAGATTCATCCGCTTGTGGCTCTGGCTCCAGGAGAGCAGGAAGGATGTCAGGAAGGCACAGGGAGGAGAGAGAAGCGGGACGCATGCCCACAGGCTGCTTCCTTTCACTAGCGAAGGGGGCTTTGTTTGGGGAGCTAGGAGTCTCGATCTCTTTCTGTAAAATCTTCCCATGTAAAACCTTTTGGCTGGGTTTGTTTGATCACATGAACCCATGATAACAGCCAGGCCTGTGTGTGCCTCCCTGCTTAAACCTTTTCTATGTAAAGATGTTGTGTCTAGGTCAGCCTAGGAATGAGCCTGTCCACACCGACACCCCTTCGGAGGTCCTTCTGCCCACTTCCATGGGTGCTATATTTTTTCAAAAATATGTTTCTTAAAATAAAGACATTACTTATTTTCCTCCTCACATCTGCCCCAGGGGGCCCAGGCTTCTCCCAGCCTCCTCTCTACTGGTAGAATAGGATCCCTGTCCTCACCCCTACCCTGGAATTGCCAGGCTCCTCCCAGCCTCACCTCTGCTGAGGAGGCTTGATCCTGACCCCCTCCCAGCCTCATCCCTGCCCTGAGGACTCTGATGCTCACATTTCCACCTCTGTCAGCAGAAGCCACTCAGACTTGTCCGCAGCCTCGCTGGACCTCCCCACTCACCCCTCCCTGAGTCCTTGGAAGGAGTGATTCCTCGTTCCAGAGGAGAACAGGTGAGGCTTGGAGAGGCCCCAGGTCCCAGGACTCCCTGTGAGGATGGTCATGGGGCAAGAGCAGTATCCTGGCTCCAACTGTGCCTCTGTTTCCTCGTGGTGGAAGGCATGTGAATCCTGCTCCAAGCCAGGTGACCTGTGTGGATATCATTCCCAAGGACCTCAAGTGTATGGATATAGGAGTGGGGGATGTGATGCAACTGCACAGGCTTCCAGGAGAGAGGGGTCCAGATGGGAGGCACAGACCTCAAAGCAGGGTTCTCAAGCAGAGGTGGACTGAGAAGAGGGCAATGAGCCTTCCTCATGTTTCCGTTCACTTTCAGGGTGTGTCGATGAGGCAGACAGACCCACCTCTGACCGTGGTCCTCACTGCTAAATTTAAGCCCATCTCCTATGTGCCGCCTGGGCAGGAAACTGTCACAACAGGACTTAATATAGCCACTGGGCACCCCTTCCTGCGGTCCTTCCTCCCGCCAGCCAGCCAGCTTTTGCCCACTGACCATGAACAAGCAGAGACAGACACAGGAGACAGGCCACTGTGTGGGGGACACACTAACTTCACTTCCTGTCCTCTGCCCTTAAGAACCAGGAAACAGGGACACCAGCACCGTGAAAGCCCTTAGGACCCCAACTATCCCCTCTGGCTTCCAGGAAGTACCCACTGAGGCCTGGTGGACCTGTGAGGGGGAAGGGACCCAGGCCCCCTGACAGTGGGGTCAGAGCAGTCCAGGGTCCAGTCTCTTGTTCCCACTGCTGCAGCCCCGTGAGGTTTGCCCTGGACTCATGGCGATCCCCGACTCACACCTGGTGGAGACGCTGCCCGTCCATCCCGGGGTCAGCTAACAAGCAGACCGCTGTGACCCGTGTAGTTCTCACTGGTCAGTTTTCGAAAGGAGACCGCTGGGCTTTTCTTCCTGGTCTGTCTTGGTCTGGACACTTCCTGGAGCCTGCTTGGCACCTCCAGCACTCACGTGTCCACTGACAGGACTTGTGAACAGTCGAGAGGCGCACGGGCTGGGACCTCCTTGTGGAAGGCCTGGATTCTGCCTCTGAACCACCACTCTCCTGTGCCCGAGACTTCAGAGTCCGTTGTTCCCCCTAAAAGGGCCACGTGCTGAGGTGCCTAGTGCCCGTCCTGCAGGACATGTCCAGGAGCAGGTGTCTCCCCCAAGAGCCTGGTCCCAGAACTCATCATGGAACCCAGCGTACCTGTCGTCAGGCCCTGACCGCAGTCCACCATGTGCGTGTTTACAGAATAGCTGCCCTGGGTGACTCTTGGCCGAGTGTCACCCAAAGGCCCCCACAGATGCCACCCACTGACGGCAGCCTCCCAGTGTTCCTGCTCATGCACTCCAGGTGGGCTCTAGGCCTGCAGCTGCTGGAAGAAGGGGTGGTTCTGAGGTCATTGCCATGTGCAGGAAGAAGGGAGGAAAGTTCTCGGGGGAGATACTGGCGCTCGCTGTCCTGCTGACCAAATGAGGACAATTCTGAGAAGCCACCGCTAGTCATCAGGAAAGGCCATTGTGTCACTGGCTGCTGCGAGGTGCTACTGGGGCAGCCTTGAGGGTGGGCAGCCTCTGGCCCCTACAACAGACCAGCTCCTCTTGCTCTCTGTCTCTGATGGGCACAGAGGGGTTCAGGCGTGAGGTCACGCTCTTTGGGGCAGGTGGATGCTGGGACCCAGGCCTGAGGGCCCTCTGCCATTGCTTGGGAAGGTCAGATCTACAGCTGGTGGTTGTTCAGTAAGTTGAGATACACCCAGCTCCCTGCTGCAGTGAACACCTGCAGGACCCCAGCTTGGTTTTCGGTTGGGGTCCCAGCCTATGCTCACGTGGAGGATCTCACCCCACCCCAGCAGAGTGGCCACCTGCCTGCCAAAGCCCTGCTTTTGGAAACCCCAGGAATGAGATTGTGCCCTTGCTGGGGGACACACAGTGCAGGGTGGGCCTTCATCACAGCAGACGGAAAGGCCTCTGGGCACCCTCCCTCCTCACTCTTCGAGGTGTAACAGACACCCTCTCCATTTGGCTTCACTTCTCCCTCAGCAGGGCCCCGTTACACCCCTCCAGAGAGTCCCTCTGCTGGGAGAGAGGGCTGTAGGCAGAGGTCCTGCCCCAGTAGCCTCATAAACCTTCAGACACAACAGGGGTTCCAATGGTGAACAAGTTTCCCCAGCCCCAGCCTCCATGGGGAAAGCACCTCGCAGGCATCAAGCACTCAAGATGCTGTCCCTTCCTGCTGTCCCCAGGTCCCATGCACAGTTGAGAAATCCAGTCCCTGAAATCAAAGCCAGCACCCCCACCAACCTGAGACGGAAGTCGAGGCAGCCCCAGGCGCCTCGTCCATCTCCAGGCCTGCATCTCATCAGGACCAGACTCCAGGACGCAGTGGGATGACCCTGAGGACCACAAAGGGGCCCAGCCAGGCTCTGAATCCCAGCCCTGTGGTGGACGGCAGCCTCAGAGGACCACGGCGAAGCCTAAGCGGGCGCCCCCTCCCCTCACGCTGCTCTTGCCAAGATGCTGACACAACGGCTCCAGCCGTCTTATTTATTATCTGATAAAACGCTCCCGGCACCGTGCTGGACGGCGTCTGGCCTCAGGGGGTGGAGAGCCTGGTGGAGGAGGGGAGTGGAAGGGGGGGCCCACAGCACGCCATGTCCAGCCGGACTGACAGCAAGCAGGACGGCAGATTGAGTGGCCTCCCGTCTGTACCTCGGCCGCCTTCATCCACTGGAACTCCTTGCTGTCCACTGTCTCACATTTCCTGCCACAGCTCTACCTCCCAGCGTGGCCCTGAGTGTAAATGCTCATCATGCAAACTTGAGCTTCTCCTCCTTTCGTGCTCCCCCAGTTCCTTGGCCCAGCAACCCCATGTCCTGCCCCCAGGCCACCTGCCCAGCCTCCTGGGACCCTATTGACTCAGGGATCCCCACTCCTCACACCCCTAGTCAGAAACCCCCAGTACAGACAATGTCCATCTCTAGGCCTCTTACATGCTGCCTCCTCATACATGTCCAGTGGTCACTAGGAGTGACCCTCCAACCTTCCTCGGACAGCATGAAGCAGTCACAGTGGATGGGGCTTGCACCCTGCTTGGAGGACAAGGGCCCAGCCAGCATGAATTCCACTGTGACTGTGGACAGTTTGGCCATACTGTTCCAAAGAGAGCCCACTGCCCTCTGGAGCCCATGGACACAAACCTAAGTTGAGATCACATGGGACACAGGCAGACACACCTGACCCCACACCTGATCTCCAGTTGGCAAATCTGTCAGCTTGAACATGGTGTCCACTGGCTCATCCTCCAGTCCTTGGGGATGGTGTACTAGGGAGAACCTAGAAAAAGGGGCCTGGGACCCCAAGTCACAACAGGCCCCAAACTGACCAGTTGTTGCCATGATTCACGGCTGCCTTTCAGCCAGCCTTGTGTGTGTCAGCAGAGAACTGCGTCAGGGGAGGATACTGCCCCAACCCGCCCTGTAAGGGGGGAAATCTGGACCCCAACCCACCCTGTGTGAAGACTGGACCCCACCCCGCCCTGTGTGAGGACTGTACCCCACCCCGCCCTGTGTGAGGGGAGAGCTGTACCCCACCCCGCCCTGTGTGAGAGAACAGCGTTGCTCCCTGCTCTTTTAAGGGCAGATTTCCCAGCAGATCACAAGCCC